AATATATATATATATATATATATATATATATATATTGAAAAAAAGAAAAGAAAAAAAAGAAGTATATGGGAAGAGAGAGAGAACTAGAACAAATGCAAGAACTAATTTGACAGTTTTTTGTTGCAAAATTCCAGTTTTAGCTTTCTCCTTTCCCTGTTTTCTCGGTAACTAAAGAGAACATGAATTAAACTATGGGTACTTCAATTTTCAGCCATCTTTTTGTCTTCAGGTATTCTTAACTGTTAATTAAACTCTGCCCAAAAATACCCAACAACACATCTATGTAATGCACATGCAATTAAAATAGAATAGAACCTAATAAAAGTACAAAAATGTGCCTGAATTAGTAAATTAGCTAAAAACAAGACCAAGAACATGAAATCAGTTTAGGTTTCTCTGCATGTAATGTCCTGCAAAACCTACATATCAGACTAAAATTTGGGAGTTTTTTTTTTAACATGGAACCCTTCCAACCACCGGCCCTTTGGAAGCTGACCTCTCTTATGCAACCATCCATATCATTTAAAACCATGTATTTTTGTGCCTAGTGAGAATCAAACTCAGGATGTCCAAGTTTACGGCTTGCCCTTAAGACCCTGGGCCAGCTGTGCGTGTCAAAATTACTAGTTGAATTCAGGCCTGACATGACAATCATTATGAAGTAGCAGACAAATAACTGTACAAAGCATGAAACTGCAATGGGATTTTTTTAAAGGGATTATAGCAGCAACTTTTAAAAATTAACTGTATGTACCTGAGCAAAAGCACTCTCATACTGGTCATTCTCGAGGAGCTCAGAAATGTTGTCGCGTAAACGCCTCACGATAGAAGATCTCTTGTTTTTAAGGAGCTTCAGACGGCTCTGAACATGCTTTAGCACTTTCTTGCTGCAGAGAACACGTGTAAAAATGTAACCAAATAGATACTAAATTCATGTTCTGTATGAAAAATAAATGCATAATTTTGCTTCAATTACCATGTGGAAGTTTTTCTCCATAGTACACAAGTAAAAATGTAACCAAATTTTTTCTAAAATTCATGTTTTGTATGTAAAATAAATGCATGGTCTTGCTTCAGTTACCGTTTGGAAGCCTTTTTCAATAGTACACAAGCAAAAATGTGACCAAATATATATAAATTCATGATTTTTATGCAAAATAAAATGCATGGTTTTGCTTCAATTATCATTTGGAAGCATTTTTCCATATTACACAAGCAAAAATATAACCAAATATATATTAAATTCATGTTTTGTATGTAAAATAAAATACATGGTTTTGGTTCAATTACCATTTGGAAGCTTTTCTCCATCCAAACAGGAAGTCAAACATGTTGAATGCTCATGTGAGAGAGAGGAGAAAGAGAGCTGGTTAGCCCATGTTGATCCTATTCTGATGTTCCTTAGCTTTGAATTTGAGATTAAGGTATAGGTGAAAGCTACATATAGCTTGTGAGTGAGTGTGGTTATATTTATACACATATAATATGTATAGATATACATACATACATACATATATATATATATATGGGTAAGTATGTATATATATATATATATATATATATATAAATATAAGGGGTAGTGAGAGACGGTTTTCTACCATGAACTCCACTTTCTGAGGGGACAAAACCATCACCTTTCAAGCGGTTAGGTCTTCTTTTTGGCGCGCTAGAGAGAGAGGAAAATGGGGATCTAAATGGTCCTACAATTAGAGTGGGACAATCTCCCAGTTGTCATAGTTAATTAAAAAATTGAAAAAAGAAACATATACTAAAAAAATTTCTGTCAAAAAAAAAAAAAAAAAAAAGAGTGACGGCGGTTTAGTTATAGTGTCGTGTAAATTAAATGATTAAATTCTCAGCCTAAAAAAACTAAAGTCAAAAAAGAAATAAAAGATGAAGTTTGATATGTAACAAATTTTTTATGGGTTTTCGAACTGTTAATTGTATAGATTTAATATTTTTGTTTGCAATTGTGAATGGTAAATTCTTGCTATTGTCTGTTAATTGAGTAAACCATTTCGTTATGGAAAATGATATTTCAATGAAGTATTTGTCCGACTACTTTGGTAGAAACTACGTGCCTGTTCAGTTAGGTCACTTCTATCTCTTTTTCGCTCATCTGTTCTCTCTCCTTTCTTTATTTTTCTCATTCTATTTCTCTCTCTAATATCTCTTTGAAATTTTTTTATAGACTGTGAAGAACAATATAATCAAACAAATAAATACACATATTTACCTTCCAAAAAAATAATTACACATACAATACAATATATATGAATACGATATATGATATGGAGTTGCAACCATACTTTAAAAATCAAAAGTTCTTTCTCTATTTTTTTTTTTTTTTCCCGGTAATTAAAAGTTCTTTCTCTTTTCAAGTTAAGATGGTAAGAAATATTGTTTGAAGAAACGAAACCAAGAGGGAGAGATCTGATAACTATCGGAAGAGAATAACTTAGCCTAGAACTTGACAGACTGCTATTATTGTTTTACCTTTTATTTTCTTTCCTTTTTTTTAATTGTTAAAGTTGTTTACCTAAACTACCATGTGTATTCTGCCAAACTAATCTGCCAAAATCATCCGCCCATCTATCACTAGCCTTTTGTTATTATAGGATACAAATTGAGCCCATCCAACCTCTCACAAAGACACAAACTTCCTTACAAATCATGTGGTCTCGAAAAAAAATAATAATAATAACTTCGTCTAAGCCAATTACAAACTATTTTGAAATTGTATGATCACAATTAATTACAATTATTATGCATAAAAAATAAATAAAATTGACAAATTTGATTGTAAGACAATTAATAATTGACTGATTGCTTGATTCCCAACTATCTAATAATTTATTAGATTGAGAGAATCCAGAGTCAAAATTCCTACTCTATAACCACTCCATTGGAAATTCGTATATGCTATTTGACAGCATCTAAAGTTGAATTGACAAAATTTGAATATTTATAATGTGTATATCCAATGACCTGTTGGTAGAATATCCAAATTTTCGAACAAGTGTGTTCATATTTGAGTCCCCCTTCCATAGTTTGCCAAAGAAAATAAAAATAATGTGTAAATTCGTACATTTCCTAGAAATGGTTAAGCCTCTACTTTTAGATGGGCCTCAACGAATGTGGGCTTTTGGATTCATAAATTATATGGTATAGAGTCATTATGCTCGCTAAAATGTATATATATATATATATATGATGTTTTAGAGTGGGAAGGGGGATGGATGACCCTAACTCTTGACACTCACAACCACACCACACCGTGAGGCTCGCCCCTGGCTACAAGGCACATCCCACATTTTCAAAATTAAATGACTAAAGGTGCTAGCTTGATTCATTCGGTTTTGCAGGATCAAAGAGACTCTCTCACTGTGCTTTAGTGAGGCTTTTTGGGTGAGTTCATCAGATGCACACTACATGTTTGTTATTATGTCCATAAGAAACGGATCTACTATTTTTAATTGATTGAACTCAGTGTTGCTTGCATTCGTTTTTGCTCTCATTTGCTCACAATAATTGTTGTCCTTGCTTTTAAATGTATTTATACATTCCTTTGCATGATAAGTTTGTGCCATGTTTCTCTATAATTATAGTGCGCATTTAGTTCTTTTAAGAGCAATCCCTCACTGAGACAGTTCAGATGGGCCACGTAGCTTAAGGTGGGTTTCATCTGAATTCATGGTGGGTGATTACTCTTGGAAGAACTGCACTGGCAAAGCTATAAGTACAACGAAACTTGAATACTTGAAAGAATATTCTAAAAAGAAAAGGGTGAGTACCTTATGGCATTTAAAAGTTATTAGGTCGCTAATAGTGCATCTAGTTCAATGTAAATCTATTTAAGAGTGGCGAGTGAGGCACGAGTTCAAGTCTCAGAGCAGTCACTTTGAGAAGTACCAAAGGTTAGGTCTATCTCAAGGACCCCGCCATGACGGGACCAGAACTGGGTAATGCCCTTTTTATTCCGTAAAGACATAACACGTTTGAGATTACTTTGATTGCATGAAAGTTGAAAAATGATGGAAGGTTTCTGGCTTTCTGCTTAAGGTCTCAATGCAGACTGATATTAATGAATGGAAACTAGTAAACATCAAGTTGGATAATAAGAGAGTAAAAACATTCGGTAAGTCATAACAATTATGATCTATTCATACGAAAGGATAGGATTCATGATGCTATTAGGATTCTCATCGGATAAAATGGTAAGAAACTTCTGCTTCAATTGAAGTAACAGGTAGTGATTATGAAAAGAGTAGGCATACCATCAGCAAAATAAATGACTCAAAACATTTGTTTCCATTTGATTCATGAAGAAACATGAAATTGGTGACAAGATAAGCTCTATAAAGGGGCATATAGGTCATTTCACTATGAAATTATTGCTCTAGATAGAGTAGTGGCAAAATATACTCATGTAGCCAACTCCCAGTAGTTGGAGAAAAGTTTTGTTGAGTTCAATTTAAGTATTCGATGTTGTTTCTAAGAGATTGATCCTTCGTTGTTTATTCTTCTTTTGGAGGTTTATTAGGAAAAAGCAAAAAGAAAAACTAGGGGCAAAACTGCAAAAAGCAGTTAGAATAAAAGAGCATTGACAAAAAGATTTTCATTTTACAAGTCCAGCGATAATGAGAAAGAAATAAGATACTGAAGTATAATATATTTAATTAAAAACGTCTAATGAAGTAAGAGAAATATAAAATTCTACACAGAAGTCTGAATAGGTAACATTTTCAGTAATGAGAATACAAAATATGGAGAAACTACAAATCAATCACTTGTATAAAACATTAAGGCATGTTTCTGAAGCGGAGTAGTAAGCTAGAGTTTAGCTTATGTTCCCAGCAGTCTCAGCAATGGTGCTATTTTAACAATATTATGTCCTAGTATATGAAAAATAATGACTCGAAAGAAGCATCTTCAATGCCCGACATGGACAAGTCATGCTTCAATGTGATTAAATGTCTCAAATCTCTTAAATATATGGATTTTCTATATTTTATATATATATATATATATATATATATATATATATATATATATATTCTCTTTCCCAAAATTTTTAAAAAATATGTTTTACTAGTGATGAGGATCAATTTCTATTTCTTGAGCCAGTTCTCTCGTCAGCTTGTCAGCACGATCATCATGTCCACCAGCAAATGTATAGACCCGGAATGCAAACTGAAAAGCCTTCCAAAGCATTTTAATAGACCCCCTTTTTCGCTCCTCAGCTTTAGATCCTTTTTCAGAATTTTCTTTTGCCTTCGCATCTCTTCTCTCCTGAATCAAAAGCCAAGAATATTTCCACCATGCAGGTTAGCTAGTTTGCCAAGATATTAATGAACTGTTGAACTCAAATGCGACATCAACAACATATTCTAAATCAAATTACCTTAAGTGCCAACTCCATGCAGCTTGAAGAAACATCCACCATCAATTCTTTGATCTTTATAAGGATACTGAAGTCGAAAATGATCTTGTGACTTTGGAATTTCTTAGATTCTTCATCCTTAGTTCTTTCCAGAGCATCCAGTTCTCCTTTGATCTATGTGCAATTGTTCTTTGTTAGTGATGAAAATGTTTATATTCTTAGATAGCATTATGATGAAGTTTTTGATTGCATGGGAACCCAAAGTTCACCTTATTGAAGTAAGGCTCAAGCTTGTCAAGGAGTTGGCCCAAGGGAGACTCCACCTTCCAGTTCTGTAGATTATTGACCATCACATCTAACTTGGAGTATAGTGCAGCTGCCATCCTTAGTGCTTCCAACTTCTTTCCCGGAAAACCTTCAAACCTTGCCAGCACCTGCCCATTGAAGAAATGTGTATGAAGTCAAAGAATGGTCACTAAAGATGATGGTACTAGTAGAAAATGAACAAACTAATATTGTTGGACCTGAGATTCATCAGTTAGTTTCTCAAGATGGGATTCCATGTGTTTATGGAACTTAAGGAGCTCAGCCATGTCTGTCGTTTGGAAAGAGCTAATGGCAGTTTTCACCTCCATGATTGATTTTGCATGATTTTTTACATCCTCTTCAATTTGTTGAAAATGTTTGGATCTGAGATACAAAAAGGAAACATATAAAAAAGGAAAACATTCTTAGGGAAATATACCCAACAGGTAAATTTTTCCGGTTTGAGGTTTTGTGAAAGGCACACCTCTTTGTCATCTCTGCTAGGGCATCAGCCATTCCCTGTTTTCCACTAGGTGAGGACCCAATTTTACTCTTTCTCCCACCTTGGTCTGATTTACCATTTAGACTAGATCCTTCCACCTTCCCCTTGAGAAGTCGATACAAATTACCCATCTGGGATGATCTCTTCAATTTAGTAGCTGCTTTCTTTGGACGTAGGGATTTAGCACCACCAAGAGCAGGAGGTGGCGGGGGAGCCCCCCCCTTTGTCAATGGCATAGGTGGTGGTGGTGATGGCACTGTTCCATTTGAAGGGATTGGTGGTGGCGGTGGCGGTGGTAGTGGGGTTGCTATGTTTGCTGATGTCATAGGTTGCGGCGGCGGTGGAGGCGGTAGTGGGGTTGCTATATTTCCCGATGTCATGGGCGGTGGAGGTGGTGGAGGCAGTAGTGGGGTTGCTATATTTCCTGATGTCATGGGCGGCGGAGGTGGTGGAGGCGGTAGTGTGGTTGCTATATTTCCTGATGTCACGGGCTGCGGTGGTGGTGGAGGCGGTAGTGGGGTTGCTATATTTCCTGACGTCATGGGCGGTGGAGGTGGCGGTAGTGGGGATGCTATATTTCTTGATGTCATGGGCTGTGGGAGCAGTGATGACGATGGCATAGTTGAGTTTCCTAGTGTTAGATGTGGTGGTGGCAGCGAAGGCAGCATTGTTGTATTTGCTGATGCCATGAGGGGCGGTGGTGATAGGGATGCTGATCCTGATGCTGCATTTGGCAATTTGGGTGGTGATGAGGGCGCGGGGGGCAAAGATGGTACAGTGAGTGCCAGCATTGATAGTGGTGGTGGTGATGGTGGTGATATTGCTGCATTTGGTGACAACGCGAGTGGCGGAGGTAGTGGCAGTGACAGTGACGGTAATGCTACTGCATTTGGTAGCATAAGTGATGGTGCTGATGCTACTTTTTTGAGCAACACGGGTGGTGATGTTCGTGGCAGTGGCACCTCCGCTGCTACTGCATTTGGTTGCAACTTGGTTTGTGATGGTGGTGATACTACTGCACTTGGTGACAACGCGAGTGGCGGAGGTGGTGGCCGTGACGGTAATACTACTGCATTTGGTATCATAAGTGGTGGTGCTGATGCTACCCTATTGAGCAACATGGGTGGTGATGTTCGTGGCAGTGGCACCTCCGCTGCTACTGCATTTGGTTGCAACTTGGGGTGTGATGGTGGTGATACTGCTGTATTTGGTGACAACGCGAGTAGCAGAGGTGGTGGCGATGACAGTAATGCTACTGCATTTCGTATCATAAGTGGTGGTGCTGATGCTACTCTTTTGTGCAACATGGGTGGTGATGTTCGTGGCAGTGGCATCTCCGCTGCTACTGCTTTTGGCTGGAACTTGGGGTGTGATGGCACTGGTAACAACACATCCGTGGCTCCACTTGCTAAGCTCACGGGAGCTGCTGTATTATTTGAGTTGCCAATCCAATTTCTTTCTTCGTTGCTAGTTATTTCGTCAAAATTAGTCATTGAATTCTTTGGTATATCCTGTGTCATTTTGCAATCCTTGCTGACCTCAAAAGTACCTGCAGCTGTCACTTCAGAATCATTCTTTGCTTCTTTTTCCAACTTCAATTCCTCGTATGTCTTGTTCATCTGCTTCAGGGTGTTGTAATCTATATGGGGGAACATGTGGAACGAGAGGCGCTTTACATCAATGGGATTCAACTTTCCAACAGCTTGAACTCTGAGAGGCAAAAGAGATGAGGAATAAGAAGAAATCTTTCCGGAGTCTCCAACTTTAGCAGAAGAATTTATCATCATTGGAAGGACTGAAGTTGGGGTGTCTGGAGAACAACATAAGGGGGTTTTGTAGTCTGAATAGGATTCTGATAAAGGGCTTTCGGATCCACTGGCTTCGGGATTGCAATCTTTCATCTGTTCATCTTCATCCATCATGTCAAACAGCCTTTCTCTTGCCACCTTAATTATCTCATCAAGTATTGCCGATGCTAGTTGAATTTCAACATGAAAGAATATTATCAACTCAATATCATCCAGGAGCCGCGAAAAATATAAAAGTAGCTTTTTAATATCTAATATAGTTAATCCAATTAATCTTTCTTATCATATAATTCATCTTAAAGTTATACAACTTATACTTAATGAAAAAGGAGGAAAAATATGTAAGAAATAAGAAGGGAAAAAAAAAACACAATGAAGATAAAAGTTAAAAGAGGGATATGGAAAATTTTACAAATTCCAGAGAAAAAAAAAACATGAATGAGAAGCTGAGAGAGAGAGAAAAAAAAAAGAGGTAAGATAAAGATAAAAATCTTTTGGCCCTTATTAAATCTCTATTGGTCAGTGTCTAATAATAGATACAAATAATAAAAAAAATTGGGACATTTTTATTGGGCAAGAAGGAAATAAAATTTTTAAGAAGGTTATAATATAAACACATAAATTTTTTTTGAAAGTTATAATATAAGGAAATAAAAATTTTTAGACCTTCCTATTTGGCTAGAGTCTATGATAGGAAGGAAATAAAAACTTTAGGAAGGATATAATATAAAAAAATAATTTTTTTTTGAGGTATTCCTATTGGCCGGGGCCTAAGGCGACGGCCTAAGTCGCCTAATGATCGAGCCGGCCCTGATATCATCTCAAGTTAGAAAAAAATTGTCAACTGCATTTTGGAGTAAGAAAGAAAACATACCTAGTTGGTCCAAATCATTGTTTGACATCTTATCATATGAATCATAATTGCATTTGGCCATCCACTCATTGTTATTCGTCCACACATCTCCAATTGATTTCAAAGCAGTGCAAAAGGAGGATAGTGCCTGTGTTTGAACATGTCAGGACAATTAGCTTACACACTAACAATGTTAATTATTTGTGTACGTACTGATTTGATATTTATAAACCTGATGTGTAGATGTTCCTTCCATATCTAACACCAAATTGCTGGATATGGTGTCAGGATACTTCTTGTGGAGATCATTCACCGTACCTATCACCAGCTGCAAGAAAGTAAAAGGGACAGGAAAGGTAAAAGATTGGCATTTCTCTTTCTGCTACTTCACACGGTGTTCTAAGAAATACAGATGGACGATTACTTCATTTATGGAAGCAGAGCCCATACAAGGAGTCAGGTCAATCAAGTCTCTGAAAGTCATGACCTTCTTCCGGATCTCCATTGTTGTGATGAAGTTTTCTGCCACGCTGCATGAACTGCGCACTGCCACGCCTTTGACTTTCCCTTGATTATCCGATACATCAGACCTTCGGTTAGTCTCCAGCAGATTCTTTCCCTGTCAAGATTGTCAGCCAACAAGGAGCAAATTCTCCTATTATTAGAGAATTCAGCATTTTGTTCTATGATTGGATTAGGTGAAGCATATCATAGTCTTGAGAGCAAATCTCTTGGATCCAAGCTTGCAATTTTTATTCCTTTCTTTTTCCGGCCAGGAAATATATATATATATATATATATATAAAGATCACAATTTACATTGATAAACATTTTCAATGTGTACTAATAAGGAAACATAGCTCCTTGGAACTGCTTTTCTCTTCTCCTCTGTTGATTATATTGTACTTATCAATGAATGATTTGCAAGTGGCTATTTGGCTATTTTGAAAGCTATGCAATGAGTCATGGATGTATATTTTGGTGTTGGCTTTCCTAGAGTAATTAAAACCATGCAAGCATGAACATATCAATTTAGAGACATGACAGACTGAATTTACACACAAACACACACACACATAGTTGTATATTGGCTTGTGCGTGTACATTCTCTCTCTCTCTTATTTTTCATTTTTCATTTTTTTCTTTTTCTTTTTTTTTTTTTTCTTTTTTTTTTTTTTTTTCACATTGGAACAACAGGGTTAATATCACAGAACGATAAACACTTTGCATATGATTCTATTTGAAACATACCTGAACTCCAGGAGATTTTTTCCGGAACAGCAATGGTGCCAAATTGAAGCATGCTTTGGTTGCCATGGCCAAGGACTAACAACCCTTTTTAAACAACTCTGTTTAGCACACCATGTCAGGTTCTCGAGGTTTGACGAAAAACCCAATAAAGTTTGCTGAGGCAAAAAAGTTTATGGATAATAAAAAACAATAGAGAATTATTGTATTAAAGAACTTTCAAATTCAAACAAATTTGAGCATATAGTATTATAACGTGCAGCCCAATTTCTGGCTTTTCAATTGCTCATGTACAAACTTATTGTCTCAAAATCTCCAAAAGTGAGTGTCAAACCAGAGAAAAAAGAAGATGATGGTTTGTTTTTTTAGGGCTAAGCTGCGTTTACTATTCAATTGTTGTTAGTGGACATTTTTGGGAGGGTTCCAACGGCTAACTAATACATTCCCTTGAATTGAGGAACAACTCTTGGGCTAAAATGTTTGACAACTCATAATATAACAACACTTTTATTGTAGTTTTGTTTGATATATATATCATATATGGTTGTTTGTATTGAAGATGCCAGCTAGTACTATCACCTATGATTGGAAATTTAGTGTACTTCAAAGGAAGGTTACACTAATTTACCATGAGATTTAGACAAATTACATACAGGTAGACCATTCAGTGATTAGAAATTGACTGAGTGTTAAAAGTCAATAATGCTCTTATATTATAATACAGAGTAATATATTATATTGCATTTTATACATTGGAAGGATAAAATTGTCATTTTATAAAATTTACTCAACATGTCAGGCGGGAAAAAACGGTACGCACACACCATAAATCTCTGAAAAGGTCAAAGTAAGGTCTACCCGTGTGTAATTTGTTCAAACTTCAAAGAAGGCAAGTATAATTTACCCTTAAAAGAATGCAACCTGTGTAATTAAATTAGTTGGAATTGAGAGAAAAAAAATGTTTTGTTTGCTTAATTGAGAGAAAAATAAAAAATAAAAATAAAAATAATGTTTTGTTTAGATTTAGGAAAGAAAATTGAATAGGTTACCCTTATTTGTTTGCTGTTATTAACATTGTCAACAACATTGGTTTAGAGATGGATATATAATTATGGATGGAAAATTGTGGACGAATTCCAACATTGAAACAACTAGTAACTTTTTCTGAGCTTTGAAAGATTCCTCATGGTGGGGCTGTACCTTCCTCAGGTGTCAAATGTGATGCTGTACCTGTCGTTTAAATCAGACCGTCATTTCGGTACAACGAGAAGGAGTTTACTATGGTCAGTGCACTGAGATTCGAGGAAGTACGACGCTTGTCAAGAGAGAAATTTTATTATCTATGTTTTATAATCAATTCAATTATATTTAGAGTTTAGAATCAGGTACCTATGGTATATATTAGACGGATGTAATTCAGCAATAAAACATATTAGCATATATTGTATTTTACTTTGTAGACTTAAGCATATCTTTTAATAGAACAAGTTTCAGAAGTTCTAATGAAATTCCATAAAATAGAGCCAAAAAGAGAGAAATTAGTGAAAAATGTCTCCATAGGTTTGGAATTCAACTTTGATTGAAATCCAAGGACTCTTGCATTTCTTATCACTCCCTCCATTTCCAAACTCCCAATTCAGCCTCTGTGTTGGTGACAGTGAGGCCATGCACCCATTCACTCACAAATCCTTCTAGTATATCTTCTATAATTTTGCAGTCCTTGCTCTCAATGGCTCTTAGTGTCATAACAATTGCAAAGCCATTACTTCTGTTTTTGCTGTGGTCGGCTTTGGAAAATGATAGTGTAAACAATTTCAACAAAAATAGAATTCATGGGCTAAATATATAAATTTGATGAGAAGACATACCTGGATATAGAAACTCAGTTTGAAGAGAATTACAGCGGAAACGTTCTTCAACTCTCTCATTTGTTTACAAAAGTGGATGATGGACTCAGGCTTTTGAGGGTTGGGATCGTTTCAGTTTTTATGTGAAGAGATGTATTGATTCCATCAACTGACATAACTCTTGATATATAAGTGACTATTCATTCGGATTGAAACGCGCCTTTAAGAATTAATATGGTGCAATGCAACTCTATTAAATAGGGTGCAACCTCTCTTAGAAGCATGTATAACCGTTGATCTGGTTCTATTCAAATGATTAATGCTAATTAATTATTATTGTTAGACTATTATTTTGCTTACAGACAATACATTAAATCAACTACTAAACAAGCCTTAAATCCCAAGTTCCCAACTACTCGGATCAGTTGTATCCATGAAAAAGGATTTTCAATAGAAGACTGCAGGAGAAAATTGCTTACAAGAATGTTAGGATATGTTGCTTGTGCTCTCTCAATTATCCAGCCATATCAGGAAATGGTAGCGGCCGAGAAGCCAATACAGCCACAAGAGAGAACTCCTGTCCACTGCTGTAGCCAGCAAAACTTAATGCATAGAAGAAATGTTGTGGTTAACCAATTCTTCCATGGAGGACTTAAATGCCTGCTGCAACATCCGCAAGAACAGAACCAAGTTAACGTTAATTATCTCAAGAAGGATCTAACTAACTGGAAGAAGATGATCAAAGTTTAACGAATTGCTCATTACTGTAAAAAGACATTATAAATGATGAATACATATGAAAGTTTAGAATACATACAAAAAGAATTTCAGAAACACCAGGACACAACTGCTAAAGGATGACCTCGTAAACCAACGACAACCTAAAATGGAACTGAAGCACAGTTTATCCACCTCCAATGAAAAGAAAATAAATACATTGGAGATCTGAGAAAATTCACTACATACAAGTTCAGGTTCAGCAGCAACAATTGAAATAATCATAATATGAAGTGGAAGACCCGTAACAGAGGCGAGTACTATCTGATCCATTGGGAGGAGATTTGTAGCCTTTTCAATTAAACAGTACGTATTTTTTGAACTCTTCGGTAGATGGAGGAGAGTACATTCTCGGTCAATTTCTTCACCGAGTAAATATATTCTTCATTTTTATTCAAGTAGTTCGTGATGGATAGAATGAATGCCTCTGTCAGGCATGATTTTCATCTCCAAAATTCCATGTCAAATTTGAATTCTCCCACCTGTTGTACCATCCTCTTCAACTTTCAAGGAAATGCCAAATAAAGCTTCATGGTAGAATGTTCATGGAGTATCTAAGCATTCACAATATCAATCATCTTCGAACTTGTTTCCCAAAGTTGGTCAGATTTCAACAAAGCATATACTCCCTTGTTTATCGTCTATCCAAGTACTAGGTGATTTGTGGCTGAAATTCTGATCCCCAGCTTAGGCCAACTCAATATATTTGTCTATTGAGTTCTGGACTGAGGTCTATGCTTGTCATACTTCGAGAAAGCAGTTTTACTACCCACAGGGTCTTTTTTAGATGCTGCAGGAGTAAAAACACTAGCTGCAGTTCTTTCAGCGATTCTCTTCTGGCGTTGGATCAATAATTCTTCCGTTTTCCTTCGAATATCTGCTTCCTGTGAAGAAGAATGTTTCATTAGAATCACCAAACAAGAGACTAACATGTAATCAAACAATCTGGTCAGAAATTAAGCAACTATAAAGTCATTTATACCTTTTCCACTTTGCTTTTTCGAACCATGGGCCTACTAGTAGGAGATGGTTTCTTGATCTTGGACAAAATATCAGAGTTGCTCTTTGCAAGAGATCCCCGAAAAACTTTGGATCTTGCTTCTTTTCCTGAATTATTTGAACCAAGACCTAGAGCGTTCTTACCATTGGTGCTCTTAATTTTCACAGGAACCTTCTCGACCATGTGATCGTTTGTTTCAATGGCAGATGACTTTTTCTTAGCTTCTGTAAATGAAATTTCAATACCATAATCCACTTCGGGAGTCCTATATGCCCCCGCAGATTCCCATCCTGAATTCCGTACAAGCATCATGCAGATGTCATCTGGCTCACAGGTACTAGATAGTCCAGGCTTTTCCTGTATAACATCTGGGCTGGCACTGTTAGGCTGGGAAGCTACATTCAGGTCAGCAATCATGCTCATGTCAGTTTTCCATTGAGAATCAAACTGATCATCAACTGCTGACAGCGATTTTACCATGAAAGAATCATCAATAGGTACAATCTTTTTACAACTTCCTGTCTGAGAGCGATCTCCCTCCAATGACAAAGCAAAATGGTCACCACAAGTTGCTTGCTGACAGGCTGCCTCCTGGTTTTCTGATTTCCGGGAATGGTTGACAATGAACCAATCTTCTCCCTTTCCATTTTTTATGATGGGCGACTCCATGGTGCAATGAGATAGTGTTCCCTCAAGAGAGCTTCCTGATTTTTCCATTCCTTGCAAAAGTAACATTTGTTCATCTGCACAATCTATTCTCTTCATACTTGAACGGAGATCCTCACGATTTCCAAAATCTTCCAGGTTAAGTCTAACTTCTTGTCCTCCATCCCTCTCGACCACAGCAAAGGAATCAACTGCAAGGGTTTTCTCCAGTTCCAAGTCTAAAGCATGGATACTCACAACTGCAATGCTCTCGTCAGATCTTTCGGTTCTGAAGTGTTCATCCTGAAAATTTATAGGATGATCCTTCTCTACTTCATTAGCAGTTGAATCCTCATCTCTCACCAGAAGGTTCTGGAAAGCGTCCCAGTTCTCATTTCCTTTCCTTCTCCCAGATGTATCTGCAACTTGGTCATTCTCTGAATCTCGGTCAGCAGAACCATCCGATCTATTTAAATCTCTGGGGCTCTTGTGCCCACCTCTTCTTCTATTACCATGTGATGCTGACTCATGGTGTTTCTCCAATGATCCAACTGCATCCTCTATCTTCTGCTTGATTGAATCTTGATCAATTAACTCATCCTCGACTGAAGAAGGATCACCAGGGACTCCAACCGTTTCTCCATTTCTGCTCTTGGAAGTGATGTAGTTTATATTACGTATGACAACTGTTTTGGAGGACTTCTTCCTGTGCTTTTTTCTGTATGGTTGTTCCTTTGAAGAATGCTTTCTGTCATCCTGTGGATGTCCATCTGAATGACTTCCAGAATCAGAGTCACTGGATTCAGTTTGTTCATCTTCTTCTGAAGCTACGGGTTCTTTTACACTTGAAGATTTTTCCTTTTTCCTTGTAGATGACTTCTGATGCTGACGATAATCTGGCTCCCGGGGATGACCATGACTAGGAACATCCATATTTGGAGGCCAACACATATTCCCTTGATAATATGGAGGTACAGGCCGCATGCCAGGGAAAGGATAACCTCGAAATGGAGGCATCTGCTGAACAGGTCTATGAAAATTGTACATGTACTGAGGAATCTGATTCGAAAATGGCATCTTCATTTGAACTTTTGCTGAAGTTGGTGGTATCTGATCTGATGCAGGGAAGTGTTTATCTGCATAGAGTATATTCTCTGATAGTAAGGAGCGGCAATTGGCTGATGGAATATATTGTGTGCGTGTGTGTGTGTATTGCATTCCATGAAACTTAGACAAGCTTACATGCGCTGTTATCAAGGATGATAATTCTGCCAAGCCAATATTTAGAAATATGAAGAAAACATTACTGCTATAAGCAACTGAAGTTGTGCTATACCCTCTTCTTATTTTTATTTATTTTTGACGGGTTTCACGTTAGAAGTATGACAGTGCTTGTATGGACGACAAGTGAAGTGTAAAAAAAATGAAAAAGTGCAAATAGCACTGATCTTATCAAGTTGCAAGATACTCATCTCATTTGAATAGACTAATGCAGGTGAGCGATTAGAGTATCTGATAATAGAGCAAGTTATGGACAGAGCAAAGAAATACTGTGAGATAGCATTTCCGGAAGTTCAAGAACTTACGTTTAGCAAACAAGACATGAAGAAATGGTTTGTATTAGATCGACTAGCAAAGTCTGTTGCTTATCGGGCTATGTATCAATGAAAAATCTGAACCGTTTGAGTCATTTGAGGCACCTTGTTTCAGTACAAAGTCTAATGTTTAGCACAACATAATTTCTGACCTACCCAGATTTTCATGCTAATTATTGTTTTCGGCCTATTAAGGAATGTCATTATTTCATTTTTTGGGGGGTTTATGGATGATTTTGCCTAGACTTCGAAACAGATTCTTGTTCATTTATATCTAGGGAGGAAAACCAAAGTTGTTTTGTCAAGAACTGAAGATACTTGGACTTTGATCAATCCACAAGGAACCAAATGGATTATATCTTTCATCACAAGGTACACGTGTCTATAGAATGGTGAGGAAAACTGAGAAAATTAATTATGAAAAATATATCTTAATAAATTGTAATAAATAATTTGTATCAGGAAAACTGAATTAAGTGCGAACCAGGAAAAGCTGTAATAAGATGAAGAATGACTCTCATTAGTGTATATGAAGAATTACACTCTCTCTACATAGGAAGCTCCTTCAAGCTTTTGTTTCATTCTCAATACAAATGCATCATCTAAAATGGCAATTTTTTTCATAGAATAGTGGTGGTTCTCGAATAAATGTAATATATAAGTAAGTAAAAGAAAAGAGCATGAAAAGAAATACCTTTGTTGCCATTTGAATTTTCCAGACTTGTGTTTGAGTCAGATGATGCATTTACAGAGCCATTCGGCATAACTTTACCGGTAGAGAATATATTATTCTGACTCGTGGCGTCACTTTCACATGTAAGTACAATCCCAGATGGTCCTGAATATGACAGCTCTGGTGGGAAGCATGCCTCCATTGACGCTAATTCATCCATCCAAAGGCCATCTGTGTGCTTTCTCTTCGACAGTTCCCTAAAATCTATGCATGCTCCCCTACAAAACCAATTTTTTTATTTTATTTTGAGGCTCAACCATACTCAACATCAGAAATAAGTGCTTGTATTTATGCACCTAGAGTGAGAAGAGGAACATATGTGAAGGTGACCTGCAATACATCTTTCAGTAAAAAACTTCATGACCTACAACATCTAGAATTCCACTTGAAACGCTGTTAACTCCTTTTCTAGTAGAAATTATGGATGAATATCAATAAAATTGTTGTTAAGAATCAAGTAAAATTATAGTTCTCCTAATACTACTTAGTACAATAAATAACTACCATTCATAAGGAGATGAAATGAACAATACAATAATATATATATATATACAGATCCTAATGGCCCAAAAAAAATAAAAATAATAATAATAATAATACAGAAGTGAGAAAAGCAATATCTGCAAAAAATACTGTTGTATGATCTTATTCTCTTCATTCCTTTCATTATAATTTTAATGGTTGAAAATTAATTTTACATCATAAATTATGAAACCTAGAAGATGAATTGGCCTCCCAACAATGCTATGGGAGGCAATTAATGTAGAGAGCTTGAACGGAGATCCAACTTATAGAGAGAACTTTAAGGGAATGTTCTCTCTGTGGGAATGTCTAATCAACTGTTGTCTCCTTAATCTTACTATAACTAGAAGACATGAAAGGAAGGACAAGGATAAATTAGTATCATAAAAGGTGGATAAAGAAGTTACATAATAACCCATCACTTGAAGTTGTGGGCTTGCAGCCCTAGAAGTTATTAATAAAACCGTACCGTAAACGTGATGCCCCAAAAGCATCAGCAAAGGATATGAGATTATCTATATAGTCCATTTCAAATCCAGCAGCAAGAGCACGGGCATACACCATGGCCTGTTCTTTCCGGAGTAATGCTTTCCGAGTCTCTAAAAGGCGTTGAAGGCAGATCCTTATAACCAATAAGTAAATTATTCAATACTAGAAAACATTGAAGCAGTGAAAGTAAGAAGATTGATTTATCAAGTGCAACTGCAAAGATAACATGATTTACTTGGAGTTTTCTTCATGTACAGCATCATCAATTACTTCAACTTCATCTATGAACTAGGAGGAACAATCAAAGGAAATGGTAAAACTAAAGTTAGAAAATTCTTAAAAAACGTTACCCAATTTAACCTATAGAATATGTAAATAAATGAAATGAAATACCTTGCAGGAATCATTTGACTTCTTCAAAACCGCATTGCCAGCTAGAAAGCTTCCTGATAACCGAAGTTAATAAGGAGAATGAATCAAAATTATTAACTGATGCATGAGTCTATGGTTGTTGAAAATGTAAAAACCACACAAGTTCCACATCTTTTCACAGGAAAACATTTGCCAGGTTCAAACTACAAAGCAATTTATCTAGTACTTGGAAAAGCAAAAAAACCAAAAATGCTTGAGATCCTTCCTGTTCCTATTTTTGAGCAATTTTTTTGGATTATTTGACATTTTATATTGTGAGTGGTAAAATATGTTCCCAAGATTTAATTAATTTAATTAAATTGTGGTTCATACATGATCTTTGAGGAAGAGCATATGCATTTTTACACAGTGTAAGTTGTGACACATTTACAAAGAGAATAAATCAGGGACTATAACACAGGTAATCAAATTAGAACCAGTCAGGTAAAGTTCTGCTATTAAAATTTAAGCTATCATCGTACCTTTGTCAGCCTGCCCTGCTATATTTCCGTTCGAGGATTCATTAGATTGAACAGAACTCTGAATCTGCAAAATTTCTTTTTCGATTCGCACAAATCTCTCGAGAATTTCAGGTGTGCTTACAAAACGTACAAATCTGCCACATAAATGAGATGTATCAGAATTAGTTACATGAAATTGAGTCTTCCATCAGGCTCATGGTTCTCCCACTCAGTTTCCTAATTGCAACTTTTGTCATCTATTTGACAGCCATCTATTTTTAAGTCTTGAAAAGTTTTCATCCTTTAATTCTTTAAATTTTCTAATCCTAGTCACTGAACACAATGACAGTATAAGAATATGTCTCTCGAGATTCAATAAGTGTAAGGACTAAGCAGAATGTTGAAAAACTTCATTACCAACGTACTGACGAATTTCAGGGCTTTTCAGGGTCATTCAATCCAAAATATTCGGACAAATTCAACAATTATCCAGTAATCAAGTCAACATTAACAAACCAATGAATACATAGCCTTTTCAACTTTAACGTCAATGTATTGTTGAGAATGTAAGTAAGAAGAATGAATCATATATCCATAATTTTTTAAATAAATTTGAAAATTATGAAAAAATTGAGAATTATTTACCCATCATATATGGGATTGAGTTGGGATTCCTTTGATTGATATATGAAATTGGGATAACTATAGTAAAATACGTAATAATTAAATAATTTAGTTACAATGTTCGTCGACAATACAGTGAGAAATTCGATACATGATAATTATTGGGCAATTATACAATTCATTATTTGGGCTTTTTAAAGTAGGAAAAATGGCCTTTTCAATTTATAATCTTCTTGGAATGAGAAATTGGGAATAAACCCAGAAATTAAATCACAAAGTTGACCGAAATTGATGTAAAATACACACACAATTAGAATAAAAATTTCAAAGAAAAATTAGTATATATTACCTTTGAATGGTGGCTTTTGTGAAACAGTAAGCATGAATGGATGGTGGATAGAGGGTAATTGAGTACCCTCCTTTTTGAATCTGATCTTTAGCAAATTTCAGGTGAGAAATGAAGGGTTCCACAAGCCCAGAAGCAAGTTTCTCATTACGGTCCCCCAAACACACCACAAGATCACATCTTTACAAGTGAAATATAGCAACACAAAATTATCAGTATCCAAAAGAGACCTAACAGAGCACACACACAAACACACACACATATATATATGATAAATCTATATTTGTCTATATTCTTGGTTGGGTTGAATCAGTAGATAGAGAGATATAGATCAGTGTACCTTGTCCTGGTTGGGGTGAGTTGAAGTACAGCATAACTAAGAATAGCTTTGGAATCCATACTCAGAGAGAGAGAGACCGAGACAGAGGTTAATTATTGTAGTATGATGAATTTACAAGTTCATTGTTTTTAAACGTGCCTGTCCCAGTCTATGGTATGAACTGGACATGAGATAGAGCCAGCAGGAGGTGATGAAGCATTGCACATGCAAAGGATGTACTTTGAGCATTTTGAAGGTGGGGCCATCCAACCATGCCTGCCCCACTTTCTCTCTCTACATGTTTTTTTTGGAAAGTTGTAGGATTTCTAAAGTAATTTTATTATTATTATTATTATTTTTTACGAGGTGAGAAGGGTCGAAAGTTATAAATTAGTAGGCGTAGAGAGTTAGAGTTTGACATTCCAAAATTTATAGAAAGTAATAACTTATTGAGCTATTAGAGTTTAAAGTAAATTTTGAGTGAAAAAATTATATTAGATTACATTTTAACCAATTATACATTTATACCCATTTTAATATCTTAAATATCAATTTATTCCAAATGCAAAAATGAATTTTGATTTCAAATCCTTTTAGTTCTTACTCTTTTCAAATTCAATGTCTATTTGTGTAAGTATACAAAGTAAGTGCACTGGAATACAATGTAAGTATGCTAATATACAATAATTAAGCTGCGTATTATATTAACAAATAATTAGTAAGTTTACTAGTATACAATGTTAGGTATGCCTAATTTTCAGCCCCAAGACTCTGTTCTAGTGGGACTAGAATTGGACAATATCTCTGATAAAAAAATAAAAAATGGACAATATCCCTTCTAATATAAATTTATATCTTAACATATTAACTATGTATATGAATCATAATACTGCCAGCAAAAAAAAAAAAAAAAAAAAAAAAAAACCTCATAATATACTAACCATAATATATTTAAGCATGCATTATACCATATACACATACAAAAATAATTTCTTGTACACTAAATATAGTAACTGTGATTAAATTATCACTAGAGTAGTGCTACACATCTCGAATTAAAATTTAAGATTTGATTTTGAATCTGATGTGACAATAACTAAAAAGATATTAATGTCCTCTATTTTAATATACATTACACTTTATTCTTTTATGCATTTGTATTTTCTATTTTAGTAAACTAAACGAATTGTAAAATTGTAAATTGAAAGAAAATGAAAGAACCAATGATTAAGTATATATATATATATATATATATATATATATATATTCTCTTATGTACTCTCTATATTTTTCAATTACTTTATATTTGTTGGGTATCTATAAAAAGCCTTAAGCAAATTATGTAAATTAGGGTTCTTATTGATGAAAAATAGGAAAAAAATTGTAATTTTTAATTTTAATTATTTGACAATTCATGAGAAAGAGATCCCTCCTACATAGTAAAAAAATTATAACTTTTAATTTTAATTATTTAAAAATTTACTCGAAATGGGCTTTCAAACGAAAATATATATTGATAAAATTGAATTGAAGTTACAAACTTATATGACAGTTTCGATGCTCTAATGGTAAGTTTTGTTATTTTTTTTTCTCTGTTCTATATTAATATATTTTCTATATTATTAATTTTTTTTTTAAATACATAAAGCAGCTAAATAAGCTGATAAATAAACAATCCCTAATTCAAGATAAAATCACAAATCAAAATTGATAAAGTATAATTTTGTCCTTATTACACTATACTTGATGTGCAAAGAGTGTTTTTTTTTTTTTTGGTTTTTTGCTCCTTGAATATATACACACACGGTGTTAAAAAAAGAAAGATATATACACACACACACACAACAACTATGCTTGATGTGCATAAGGAAATCTTTGGGCTTGGGGGTGGGCTAGTTTTTATCAATCATTTTGTCTTGTGTTGAATCAGTGTACCTGATTTTTAAATAATAAAAAATATATTTAAAACTTTAATTAATTATTTTTTAAATTTAAAATCAAAGTCACTGATTTATACTCCCAAATATAACATAACCTTATTTTAAATTAAGAATTATTTTTAACATTAGTTGGGTGATTAAATCTTTTGAAGTGCATGTTGAAGAAAATCATTTAATACCAATCATTGTTACTCACACCGAACTTGTAGTGAATTGTTTAATCGAATAATTTTTAATTGATTATTTATATCGAAGATTTCATTTTCTTATTTATTGTATAATTGACCAATTAAAATAAGGATCAATTGTAAAAAATTCCCCTTGACTATTACTCATTTGCAAAAATTCCCCTTGTGAATATTTTTAGCAAGAAACCCCCTCAACTATGAGAAGGGGATGATTTAACTTACTTTCATTTAACAATCTTATGAGGTAATTTTTTCTGACCAAATTATCCTTATATCTGGGTCAATAGTTTCAGTTGAGTCTTTACCATGTGAGAAAAAAAAAAAAAATTTGGGTCTTCAATTCTTCCTCACTTTTTAAGAACTGTTATTAGAAAAGAAAGTAATATATATATAAAAAAAATACACATAGGGAGCTTCAAAAATCAATCAAATGGAGTGCAGTTCAATGACCTAACTTAAAAAACAATATATTCCCTTAGAGAGAAAGAGTGTTTCGGAGTGGCTCTGATAGTTTGGATTGCTAGTTTCAATTCATCTTTTACCTAGTAAGATGTGGCACAGCTTACCAGTAATTCTTACAATATATATAGATGTGAGTACATGTTTTTACTTCCAATCTTCATTGGAATTATTGCAGGTTCAGAAACTGTCCCACTGTATCATCTAGTTAATTAAATTCTTCAAATCGCTTTGTGGTTCAATTTTATTGCAAGAAATGAAAGCAAATGAAAAACAAATCTGTGTTTATTTTACAGAACAAGTTCATCAAACAGTCCATTCGGTTGATTTTTAGAGTTCCCTCTCTTTGTATATTTTTATATACTGCTTTCTCTTTTCTTACACAGTTCTTAAAAAGTGGGGGAGAAGACTCAATTTATTTATTTTTTATTATTTTTTTCTCACGTGGTGAAAATCCAACTGAAGCTACTGCCCAGATGTAAGGGTAATTTGGTAAAAAAAAATTGACTCACGGGCTTGTTAAATGAAGGCAAGTTAAATCACCCCCTCTTCATAGTCGGGGTTTCTTGTCAAAAATATTTACAAGGGGGGTTTCTTGCAAATTGGTAATAGTCATTCGCCCTTAAAATAATAATGTTGTGTTGGATAGGAAGGAAAAAGAAGGTGTGGAGAGATGAAAATAGGAAGGACTGCCAAAAAATGGGCGGAAAAAAGGAGAGAAGCCGTGTGGACTATTATAGAAGTTTTATACTGTATTAAATATTAACATAAATTTGACAAGTTTTAAATTACAGTACTATTCTCTATACTTTATAATATTATAGACATTAGTGGATATAATAGTAAAAATAATAAAAACTTTATATTTCTTTTTCTTTTAACTAACATAAGAAATTATAAGTTTATTCTCTTATCTTCTCTTCAATCGAACAAAAAAGAATGAAATATACAATATTTTTCATACAAATGTCTTATCCATCAATTCTTCTCTCCCTTCCATCAAATTTTTTTTTTTTTTTTTTTTTTCTCTTCTTTTCTATCGAACATACATGATTACATTTACTGCAACTATTCAGTGTAAGAAACATTTTATTTTATTTTATTTTATTTTTTGTGTTGTATTTTTGTTATGCATCTATAACAAGAATGTTGTTAACTCGAATTTGAAGTAACATTGTTTAACAACCAAATAAATGTATTGAAAAATTCTAAAAATAAAAAGAAAAAAAAGTAAGTAACGAAGACCCAAAAATTTGCATCCCCTTACATTTTATTGGTCGTTGGAAAAGTTATATTTGTTTCACATAATTGTCAAAAATTGATTTTATTTATTTATTTATTTTTCACTCACACACACACATAAAAATATACATAATTAGGTGCATAAATTTATGTTGGGCCTTAAACTGCTCTTCTTCAACCTTTCACTTCTTGTAGATTTGTCTCAGATGCGTCAAATTTGGTGTCAGAATTGAGGAAGCTTGGAATGTCTATTCCCTAGGCCCCGCTGACTTTTCTCCCCTAGGTGACACACTCTCTCTCTAGCTCTCTCTCTCTAAAATTTGCAGAGAGAAAGGCCTGCCGTCTTCCTTTAGCCGGCACGACCCAATGGCGCAGCCACCGCTTGTCGCCACCACTGTCGTCCTCCTGTTTCTCATCGCTCTCAACACATCCCACCTCGTTCTCTCCGGCGATCCCAACACTGTCCTCCTCCTCCGACAACCCCATGCCGCCACCAATCGCCACACCATGTTCCTCCCTCTCTTCCCATCCCATCCCAACTCCTCCCGCAGCTCCGCCGCCGCCGCCGACCGTCGCCACCTCCAGGGATCCGAACCTCACCACCCCAACGCTCGGATGCCACTCTACGACGATCTCCTCCGCAACGGGTAATAAACATAAAAGTGTCTCCGATCTCTTTCTTATATCTATGTATTGCTATATACATATATGCATATGCAATGATTTGAATTCAATTGACTTATTCAAATTTGTGGGATTTGAATTGGTGTTGCAGTTACTACACCACCAGGATTTGGATCGGGACTCCTCCTCAGAAATTCGCTCTTATAGTTGATACAGGGAGTACCGTCACGTATGTTCCGTGCTCTACCTGTGAACAATGTGGCCGTCATCAGGTGATTATCTGATTTGGGTGTTGATATATTTGGTTGGTTGATTTATTACTAATTGATTCACTTGCTCATGTAGTGAATTGTTTTAATTGAATTGAATGAATATAGATTATATAGACATTTCTGTACTCTCTGTTTCGATTGAATAACCGTATGCAACAAATTGAGGTGTTGGTATGGTATGTATCCATGATAAAAGTATCAAATGGTGTATGTGGTTCTACAATGTTTGTTAATTTTAATTTCGTGTCTAGGGTTCATTGCTTTGTGCAATAATAAAAGCCCAAAGATGGAGCCTTGAGTGTAACAAAATAGTCCCACAGGATGTTGGTTTCGAGTCTGACCCACCAGAGAAGCATTGGGTATTGACCCATCTTTTTTTTTTTTTTCTAATGAATTTTGTGTGTAATAAGAGCAGCGCCTCTGGTACTATACTTTTTTTAAAAGGAAATCATTTTATTACTAATAACTTAAATGTATATCTTTCAAATTGATATAATAAGTCATTGCTTGGTGCAGTGGTGAAAGTTTGAGATAATAAGTGTTAGCGTACGTGTTGGATTATGAGAGCAGTCACTTGGTAAAAATTAATGCCAAATTCCTGTTCTGTTTTGATTTTGGAAGGACTCGCCCCGCACCTTGCATGGGCGTGGCCTTTTACTTTTTCAGAGTGTTAGCAGAAAAAAAAAGTTAAGTACAAAAGGGGCAACTGCTATTTTTTATTAATTAGAGAATGTTGAATTCTGATTTTGTATTATTTGGTAGGTAAGATAAACACACATGCACCCCACTTACTCACCCCTGCAATTGCTCCAACTGGGACTTGAATCATCAACCTCTCATATGAGCAGAGGAGGACAGGGAGGGGGAGGAGGAGGAGGATATGAATTAAGATTTCATTTCTATACTGTCTTAACATGGCACCCTTGTTTTATCTCAAACGCAACTCAATTAAGTCATATCCCATCCCAATTATGCGGCTTCAATGAATTCTGTTTTTCCATTACACTTGGTCGTGGGTAATAAATGTCCTTTCATGATTTAGGATTCATGTTCATTGAGGGTTTGACTAAGGTATTTCTCTGATTGTTTGCTACTTAACACAAACCTCTTTGTTTTAGTTAAGGATAGGATAGGGATAAGTTACTAAGCATGATGGAGGCTTCGTTGCTTGTGTTATATAATTATTTCCTATTTTAAGTTTAATTGTACAATGAATTGTATAGTATTTCATACTTGTTTCTATACATTTGATATCAACTTCCTTATACACTTGTACTTTATGACAAAATATATATATATATACACACACACACACACACACACAAATTTTCTCTATAATATATTTTATATGCAAGTAGTTTGGTTACTGATTGACCAGAATTGCTGATCTTACCAGATTTTCATACCCCGCGATCCACAATTTAAATTTGTTCACACACACACACACATATATATTGCCTCTTTGTTTTTTCCCATTTGTTGGATTAATGTTGGTTCAACAGGATCCCAAGTTCCAGCCAGAAATTTCAAGTAGCTATGAACCTGTAAAGTGCAATATAGATTGCAACTGTGACAGTGAAAGGGTGCAATGTGTTTATGAGAGACAGTATGCTGAAATGAGTTCAAGCAGTGGAGTCCTCGGTGAGGATGTTATATCTTTTGGCAATCAAAGTGAACTTAGGCCACAGCGTGCTGTTTTTGGTTGTGAAAATGTGGAAACTGGTGACATTTATAGTCAACATGCTGATGGCATAATGGGTTTGGGTCGTGGTGATCTCAGTGTTGTTGATCAGCTTGTTGAAAAAGGTGTAATTAGTGATTCGTTTTCCTTGTGTTACGGTGGGATGCATGTTGGTGGTGGGGCAATGGTTCTTGGGGAACTTTCACCCCCTGCAGATATGGTTTTTACCCATTCAGACCCTCTACGCAGGTATGTTTTTGAAATACTCATCTCATAGATATAGAACATTATGTGTTCTCCTAACAAATACATTTATAGATCTCACACATTTACTCTAGTCTCGGGATGGCAACAGTCCATATTACAATATTGAGCTGAAGGCGATACACGTTGCTGGGAAGCCATTGTCTTTAAATCCAAGGGTTTTTGATGGAAAACATGGATCTGTTCTTGATAGTGGTACTACATATGCTTATCTACCAGAAGCAGCATTTGTAGCATTTAAGGATGCTGTAAGAATCACTTTTCTTTAAGTTTTTCATTCTTCTATTAGACCTTGGTTATTTTTTCTTCGTCTTTTGGTTGTTAACAAACATTTCTGAGTTCATATTCTATGTCACTTATAAACAAAGCTGTGCAACATATTTGGGCTTTGACAATATATATTTATATTTTCTCTGCTAAGTGATCTGATAAAAATGTAGTGAACTAAACTGTTCAACTTGAAAATAATAGAGGAACTTGTAATTTTACCATTATGAATATATTATTTAATGCATTCTGACCAAGGTTGTTAGGATTGGGATTCGGAGGGGTACATAGTATCAGGATCGTATGATCGGATCGAGGATTGTCAGATTTTATAAAACTATTAGAAAAATAACTCAAACTAACTGATTTTATAAAACTATTAGAAAAATAACTCTGGAGAGATTATAGATCTTTAGAGGAATAGGAGATATTTTGATGGCATAGAGAGGCCTATTTCTTTCCTTAAGTTCTCTATTGTTGCAACTCTTTTTTGTTGGGTTTCTGGTAGAGATTATAGATCTTTAGAGGATATTGTGGTATTTTTGGCCTCTTTGAGGGCTTAGAGGCCTGTTTCTGGCCTTGTGCTGTTCTTTCGGGATGCGTTCCCCTTTTGAGCGCTTTCTATGATATCTTTACCTATAAAAAAAAACTTAGAAAAATAACTCAAATAACTCAAACTAACTTTCTTAATAAAATATTTCCGATATAAGTAGAGAATAAGGCTAAACTACCAACATGAGACATTCTAACAAAATCAATTAATATTAAAAAATACTAGGACACATGACAAACACTTAAAATGAATTTCTTGATTTCCTTTATACAAAGCATCATCATAGCAATCAAGTAGAAACTCATAGAAGAAATTAAAGTAAAGCCTAAACAAAAAGAAAAAAGGGAATGGAGAAATAGAGACAGAAAAGTACAATTTAGTTGCCTAATTGTCTAAGCAATTTAGTTAAAAAGTTTACTTTTTGGTTCAAAAAAAGAACAACACAGATAGAAAGAACAATGGAAAAAAAATGAATCCTTTCTTTGTTTTCGTTTCAGAACGGACAAAGAGTAGGCTGAAAAATAGAATTCTTTCTTTTTCTTGATCTGAAAAAGAAAGAAGAATAGAGAAATTAAGAAGAATAAAGCAAAATAGATTTTCTATTTTATCTTATTATTATTATTATTATTATTTTTGAAGTTTTGAGCTATGCCTTTGAAATTCAGAGTAGGATCGTCTCTGCAGTTGACATTGGGCCTCTGATTTTTATTTTATATTTTTAGTTTTTACTGTAATTAGGCTAAAGAGTTGGGCTTTGCATTTAAAACGATTAAATTTATTTGCCCAAAATGGGTTGTGGGCCCAAATAAATCAACCAAACAACATAATGTAGTAGGATCGATAGGATTATGTTATCATATGCAATAATGCGATTCAACAATCCAACTTCCGATTCTACAGATCCTACTACGATTCTACTTCTCAGTGATTTTCATGTGATTGGGATCAATTTGGCAATTTGGGGTCGTAGGGTTGTAAGATTCTGCGATCTGGATTGGGATTTAACAATCATGTTCTGATAGAGATTTAGAACAGTAATCTTTAAAGATAGTTGCATTAAGAAATCACACCTGGTACAAATAGATAATCGTGATGTTTTAAAAATAATAGATTAGTTGGATATGTTAACATTTTGTCAGTGTCTTTTCTTTTTATTTTAGGTAATATCAAACTTTCAAGATTTCGTTGCATTTTTGGAAGCATTTTCTTATCAGAACCCAGGTTTAATTGGTTCTGATCCATCCTTTCTTTGAGAAGCCAACTTAGATACCGAACTGAATGCAAAATTTGAATTCTTGTCTTGCAAGATGATTGTTCTATTTCCAAATGCCACCATAAATAGACTAATTTTCTCTAGCAGCGGAAATTGGAAGACTTGAATTTCGTTGACTCTAACAAAGAAGATCAGAGAGTAAGTATTGCCGTGACTTCTGTAGAATTTAAAGAGATCCGTCCATCTTTTTGCTAGTCGTTCCTTAAAAACTCCATTTGATCATGTAATTAGCAAAAACTCAAATGGTTTACAGAGTTATATATTCGCCTTGCATATAGTATCTGGACTGCACTCGCATCATTAATGTGAATGAATTCAATTATTGTGCCAAAGATTTTGATGGCTTGGACAGAGGAGATAAAAAAGTTCTTTCTTGCCTTAACCACTGATGAGACAGGATTTGGCCAATAGAAGAGATAGGTAGGACCTTGCAAATATGTTTAACACTCAATACATACTAAACTAGTAGTGTGAAACTTGTTCAGTTCTTGTGCTTAATTTTAAATTAGTAAAAATACACATTTTCTAACACTTCCTTCCTCTATTTTAGTGAATAGAGATGTGCCACTCTTCTCATACAGTGTTAAAAATGATGCTGCTTCACGTGGGGCCCTATTCTCTTCATAGATACTAGAATGAAGGCATCATACTAGATATCGTATCCCATTTTGATTCGTAGATTTTTTCATTTCTATTTATTTATTTATTTATTATCAAGGCTAATTCATTCACAAGCCTTAAGGCCTCAAAAAAACTAAAATTTATGAAGGGCATCCCAGGCCCTTTACAAGTGTAGTCAGCATATCGATCTGCACCACTCCTTCAAACAAATCAAGCAGAAAAGCTTAATGTAGTAACCTATTGCAGTACTGTACCATCTATTGTGCTAACAACCATCTACTCTAAAAGCTTAAACTATTAGAGAGGGATAATATTTATATCCTTCAACATGCCCTCTCACGTGTGGCCTTTTTTTTGGTCCAACATGTGTTTTTCAATTTTTAATTAGGGTGACGGTGAGGTTTGAACTCGAGACATTTGGCTCTGATGCCATGTTAACCACCATTTACTCTAAAAGTTTAACCTATTAGAGAGGGTGCAACTTTAATATTTATATCCTTCAACATATTGAAATATGTAATCCTAGCATCAATCACCTGGTGATGAATAGAGCCAAACTGAGTAATGTTTAATAAATAATCCTAGCATCAATCACCTGGTGATGAATAGAGCCAAACTGAGTAATGTTCAATTTCTTCACTGCACATTTCACTGCTTGCAGCTTGCTGCATAAGTTCTGCAAAGGATCACCTGCAGCGTTCTCGTTCCAAGCTGGAAAAATGACATCCTTCATTAAATGCTGGTCATGCCATACTTGCAGTACTGTACCATCCATCAAAATACGTACAGTCCATTTAAATATTAACCCAACCTAACATAGTGTAGACTCTCACTGCTATGCACAGGACTGTAAGACTGCAGCCGCAGCCCATAAACTCCCCATCAGAAAGATAAGAAGTAAACCACTAACTATCAAGCCAAGATTGTAAGTTCTGGAATCAGGTAGTACCATTAAATCTTAAAAATCGAATGTGGCAGTCCTCATTCCTGTTGGATCACTGATTAGATTGTGTGTGTTGGGTGGTGGACTTTCCAAAGAATCTTTTTTCTTACAACCAGAACCAAACAAGATCAATTTAAGCATATTTCAAGCTACAAGAGACTAGATCAGACAAAGTAAAATCTTGGAATCATAGCTGTGAAACTTGTGTTTGCTGCTATAGTCTATGTTCTTTGGAAAGAAAGAAATGTTTCATTCTGGTTGTGGCCATCGAATTTGTTCTTTATCATGAGAGACAGAGAGAAAGAGAGAGAGAACTTGTACACTATATTTCACACTATACAACCTAATAAGCCTACATAGACTTATATAAAGGATACAAGTCACCTTAATACCACAAGGGCCCAACATATATATATATATATATAACATTCTAACACTCCCCTTAAGCTGGAGAATATATATCAAATAATCCCAGCTTGGAACAGATAGTTCTTAACCGGTTATGACCCAATGCTTTGGTAAACATATCAGCTAATTGATCTTTAGACTTCACGAATGGAGTAGAAATGCTCCCACGTAATATCTTTTCTCGAATGAAGTGACAATCAACTTCAATATGTTTGGTCCTTTCATGAAATACAGGATTTGAGGCAATGTGAACTGTTGCTTGATTATCACAGAACAATGGAGTAGGAGCTTCAACTGTCAACCCAAGTTCTTTTAGAAAATGTTGTATCCAGGTCAACTCACTAGTAGTATGGGCCATTGCCCTATACTCAGCTTCAGTACTAGATCGAGCGACCACTGTTTGCTTTTTACTTCGCCATGTAACAAGATTTCCTCCTACAAATGTGCAGTAGCCTGTAGTAGATCTCTTATCTGAAGGATAACCAGCCGAGTTGGTATCTGTAAAACCTTCCACCCTGAAATGACCATTTGATTTATATAGTAACCCAACACCTGGAGCTTGCTTGAGATATCGGATAATCCGAAGAACAACAATCCAATGTGGCATTCTAGGAGCTCCCATGAATTGACTTACAACATTAACTGCATACAAAATATCAGGTCGAGTGATAGTGAGATAAATTAATTTCCCAACAAGGTGACGAAATCTGCCCGGATCATTAAATAGATCACCCTCATCAGACACAAGTTTTGTATTCGAATCCATAGGAGCATCAACCGGGCGACCACCCAACATACCTGTTTCTTCTAATAAATCCAACGCATATTTTCGTTGGGATAAACTTATACCCTTCTTGGATCTAGCAACTTCAATACCCAAGAAATACCTAAGTTTACCCAAGTCTTTAGTGTGGAATCAATATTGCAGAAACAACTTCAACTTAGCAATGCCTTCAGAATCATAACCTGTGATCACAATATCATCTACATATACCACAAGAAAGATGAAGCCAGTTTTAGTGCGCTGGTGCAATACCGAATGGTCAGTCTGACATCTGTTAAGACCAAATTTTAATGCCGCCTCAGAGAATTTGCCAAACCAAGCCTGCGGAGATTGTTTCAATCCATATTGGGCCTTTTTAAGGCGACAAACAGTGTGAAGATACTCCCCCTGAGCAACAAA